ACATAGGACCAAAATAAAGGATTGGAGGAATATTTACCAAGCAAATGGGAAGAAAAAAAAAGCAGGGTTTGCAGTCCTAGTCTCTAATAAAAACAGACTTTGAACCAACAAAGATCAAAAGAAACAAAGAAGGGCATTACATAATGGTAAAGGGATCGATGCAAAAAGAAGAGCTAACTATCCTAAATATATATGCACCCAATACAGGAGCACCCAGATCCATAAAGCAAGTTCTTAGAGACCTACAAAGAGACTTAGACTCCCACACAATAATAGTGGGAGACTTTAACACCCTACTGTAAACATTAGACAGATCAACAAGACAGAAAATTAACAGGATATTCAGGACTTGAACTCAGCTCTGGACCAAGTGGACCTAATAGACATCTGCAGAACTCTCTACCCCCAATCAACAGAATATACATTCTTCTCAGCACCACATTGCACTTATTCTAAAATTGACCACATAATTGGAAGTAAAACATTCCTTAGCAAATGCAAAATCACGGAAATCATAACAGTCTCTCCAACCACAGTGCAATCAAATTAGAACGCAGGATTAAAAAACTCACTCAAAACTGCACAACTACATGGAAACTGAACAACCTGCTCCTGAGTGACTAATGGGTAAATAACGAAATTAAGGCAGAAATAAAGAAGCTCTTTGAAACCAATAAGAACAAAGACACAATGTACTAGAATCTCTGGGACACAGCTAAAGCAGTGTTCAGAGGGAAATTTGTAGTACTAAATGCCCTCAAGATAAAGCAGGAAAAATCTAAAATTGACACCCTAACATCACAATTAAAAGAACTAGAGAAGCAAGGGCAAACAAATTCAAAATCTAGCAGAAGACAAGAAATAACTAAGATCAGAGCAGATCTGAAGGAGATAGAGACACAAAAAACACTTCAAAAAATCAATGAATCCACGAGTTGGTTTTTTTTTTTTTTAAAGATCAACAAAATAGATTGCTAGACAGACTAATAAAGAAGAAAAGAAGAATCAAATAGACACAATAAAAAATGATAAAGGGGATATTACCACTGATCCTACAGAAATATAAACTACCATCAGAGAATACTATAAACACCTCTATGCAAATAAACTAGAAAATCTGGAAGAAATGGTTACATTCCTGGACATACACCCTGCCCAACACTAAACCAGGAAGAAGTCAAATCCCTGAACAGACCAATAACAAGTTCTGAAATTGAGGCAGTAATTAATAGCCTACCAATCAAAAAAAGTCCAGGACAAGATGAATTCACAGCTGAATTCTACCAGAGGTACCAAAAGGACCTGGTACCATTCCTTCTGAAACTATTCCTAACAATAGAAAAAGAGGGACTCCTCCCTAACTCATTTTATGAGGCCAGCAGCATCCTGGTACCAAAACCTGGCAGAGACACAACAAAAAAAGAAAATTTCAGGCCAGTATCCCTGATGAATATCGATGTGAAAATACTCAATAAAATACTGGCAAACTGAATCCAACAGCACATCAAAAAGCTTATCCACCATGATCAAGTCAGCTTCATCCCTGGAATGCAAGGATGATTCAACATGCAGAAATCAATACATGTAATCCATCACACAAACAGAACCGATGACAAAAACCACATGATTATCTCAACAGAAGCAGAAAAGGTCTTTGATAAAATTCAACACCCCTTTATGCTAAAAACTCTCAATAAACTAGGTAACGATGGAATGCATCTCAAAATAATAAGAGCTGTTTATGACAAACCCACAGCCAATATCATACTGGATGGGCAAAAGCTGGAAACATTCCCTTTGAAAACCGGCACAAGACAAGGATGCCCTCTCTTACCACTCCTATTCAACATAGTATTGGAAGTTCTGGCCAGGGCAATTTAGGCGAGAGAAAGAAATAAAGTGTATTCAAATAGGAAGAGAGGAAGTCAAATTGTCTCTATTTGCATATGACGTGATTGCATATTTAGAAAACCCCATCGTCTCAGCCCAAAATCTCCTTAAGCTGATAAGCAACTTCAGCAAAGTCTCAGGATACAAAATCAATGTGCAAAAATCACAAGCATCCCTGTACAACAATAACAGACAAACAGAGAACCAAATCATGAGTGAACTTCCATTCACATTTGCTACTAAGAGAATAAAATACCTAGGAATACAACTTACAAGGGATGTGAAGGACCTCTTCAAGGAGAACTACAAACCACTGCTCAGGACACAAACAAATGGAAGAACATTCCATGCTCATGGATAGGAAGAATCAATATCTTGAAAATGTCCATACTGCCCAAAGTAATTTAGAGATTCAATGTTATCCCCATCAGGCTACCATTGACTTTCTTCACAAAATTAGAAAAACCTAACTTTAAACTTTATGTGGAACCAGAAAAGAGCCTGTGTAGCCAAGACAATCCTAACCAAAAAGAACAAAGCTGAAGGCATCACGCTACCTGACTTCAAACTATACTACAAGACTATAGTAACCAAAACAGCATGGTACTGATACCAAAACAGATATATGGACCAATGGAACAGAACAAAGGCCTCAGAAATAACACCACACATCTGCAACCATCTGATCTTTGACAAACCTGATGAAAACAAGCAATGGGGAAAGGATTCTCTATTTAATAAATGGTGTTGGGAAAAATGGATAGCCATATGCAGAAAACTGAAACTGGACCCCTTCCTTACACTTCATATAAAAATTAACTCATGATGGATTAAAGACATACACCTAAAACCTAAAACTGTAAAAACCCTAGAAAGAAACCTAGGCAATACCATTCAGGACATAGGCATGGGCAAAGACTTTGTGACTAGAACACCAAAAGCAATGGCAACAAAAGCCAAAATTGACAAATGAGATATAATTAAATTAAAGGGCTTCTGCACAGCAAAAGAAACTATCATCAGAGTGAACAGGAAACCTACAAAATGGGAGAAAATTTTTGCAATCTATCCATCTGACAAAGGGCTAATACCCAGAATCTATAAGGAACTTAAACAGATTTACAAGAAAGAAGTCAACAACCCCATCAAAAAATGGGTGAAGGATTTGAACAGACACTTTTCAAAATAAGACATTTATGCAGCCAACAACCATATGAAAAAAGCTCATCATCACTGGTCATTAGAGAAATGCATATCAAAACCACAATGAGATACCATCTCCCACCAGTTAGAATGGCGATCATTAAAAAGTCAGGAAACAACAGATGCTAGAGAGGATGTGAAGAAATAGGAATGCTTTTACACTATTGGTGGGAGTGTAAATTAGTTCAACCATTGTGGAAGACAGTCTGTCGATTCCCCAAGGATCTAGAACTAGAAATACCTTTGGACCCAGCAATCCCGCTACTGGGTATATACCCAAAGGATTATAAATCATGCTACTATAAAGACACATGCACACGTGTGTTTATTGTGGCACTGTTCACAATAGCAAAGACTTGGAACCAACCCAACTTCCCCTCAATGATAGACTGGATAAAGAAAATGTGGCACATATACACCGTGGAACACTATGCAGCCATAAAAAAGGGTGAGCTCATGTCCTTTGCAGGACCATGGATAAAGCTGGAAACCATCATTCTCAGCAAACTAACACAAGAACAGAAAACCAAATGCCACATATTCTCACTCATAGGTGGAAATTGAACAATGAGAACATATGGACACAGGGAGGAGAACATCACACACCAGGGCCTGTCAGGGGTGGGGGGCTAAGGGAGGGATAACATTAGGAGAAATACCTAATGTAGATGATGGGTTGATGGGTGCAGGAAACCAGCATGGCACGCATATACCTATGTAACAAACCTGCACATTCTGCACATGTATCCCAGAACTTAAAGTATAATTTTAAAAATGTAATAATGAACAGATTGGCTTTTTTTGTTTTGTTTTGTTTTGTTTTTGAGACGGAGGCTTGCTCTGTCGCCCAGGCTGGAGTCCAGTGGCGCAATTTTGGCTCACTGCAAGCTCCACCTCCCAGGTTCACACCATTCTCCTAATGAACAGATTGTTTTTAGAGTATTTGATTTTGAGTTTTATATTTTCTTAAAACAACAAAACAAACATATTAGTTTGGGCTTTACATCAGTCAAGTAGTAATTGTCATTTTAGAAAAGATAACCATCTAAATGTTTGGCATACTTTAGATAATTATATGATGAAGATCTCTATACTTCATTTAAATAAAATTACAGTTTAGTCAATATTTTAAAATTGTTTATTATTTTTAAAAGTTTCATCACTATATTTAACAACTTTGCCATAGTATTCAGGCATTATACTGTCATTGGTATTAGTCAGGTTCAATGATTTTATTCATTTCAAATTGAACTTGGTGTTATAAGTTTTGTTATAGCTATTACCTTCTTTTAGCTTTATAAGTTCTTCAGGTCATTATTTATATAAATTTTATCTGGCTTGTAAGATAAAACCTCATAAAACATAAATTTTGAAAAATATTTTTAAAAAATTTGTGAAACACTTACCCATTAGCTCCACATTAAAATTTATTTTCTCCCAAACTTACACTACGTCTGGAATTATTCAGACAAGCAAAGATAAGTAATGAGTCTGAAGAATGTGCTTTGGTTTTTACCTTTAAAACTTGGACAGTGATTTGGAAGTGCCCCTTAGTACAACTCCTTTTCTAAATAAAATTCTGCTCCATTTGCAACTCTGAACATGTAAATTGAAGGGGTGGCTCCCTTGGCCAGTGCCTGACCTCTGTGCACACCTTGGTCTGGCGTGACCTCGCCCACACTGCACGCTGCAGCCATATAAATCAGATTTTTGACATGTTATAAAATGCAAGTCACAGCTGCTGTTGTCTGCAGTATTCAAAAACTTTTGAAACACTGCATGTCCAACAAAATTTATTTTGTGTGTGAATGTAAGTTTTTATTGAGGGTAAGTCCTATTTGTTTGGAAAAAAGAAACAGTATCAGTCAGTGATTTTAAAAAATCAAATAGATTTAATGTTCTCCTTCCTGCCTGTTCTCGCTCGTGTGTGTTCTCTCTCGATTGCTTGCTCGCTCTCTCTGCCTCTCTGCTTGTCTAAGAAAAGAGCTGTTGGCTTTGAGAGAAGACCTTGATATTACAACTGTGTTAGTAGATTGAGATTTCTGTTAGAGTCTTTCTGTTTAGGTCAGAAGTGTTCTTTATAGAACAGAATTGGGAGCTTGTAATCATAATGTAAGTATAAATGCTTCACCTCTTCAGATATATGTTTGAATTCTTTTGTTTCTGTTATAGCAGGAAACTTCATATGTAAGAGTGTCTTATTAGCTACATTGCTTTGCCAGATGCCAGACATTTTTTGTGTTTCTGTGGTTAACATTTTCTTTTTTTTTTTTTTTTAATTTAATTTTAAGTTCCGGGATACATGTGCAGGACGTTCAGGTTTGTTACATAGTGTGTTTATTACATGTGTGCCATGGTGGTTTGCTGCACCTATCAGCCCTGGACATTTTTTAAAAGAAAGGTTCGCATGGATTGATAAATGTAATGTGCAATCTATAGTAAACTTAAAAGTGCTTTTATAAAAGTTTTAAAGGTTCTATAAAAGTGCAAAAACTTGAAATGCAATTGAAGATTTTTCTGTAATACATTTTGGCTATTTTCAGTAAATTGAAAAAGTGGAAGTTACTGATTCTACTTAAGAGTCAGATTGTAAATAAGCTTTATGAAAAAGCAGAAAGTCAATTCAGTTCATTCAGTTTTACTTACTGTCTCATATCGTTCATGTAAAATTCCATGTAGTACTCTACTATGTTAATAATGTTTACTAAAAATAAGCCTTATTAGACTTTTCTGCAGAGAGATATTTAAGATTAAATTACATTATTTAGGCAATGATTTATATTAAGTATGTTATTCATCTTTTAGTTTTGTTCATATTTTTTATTGAAATGTAATAGGTATCTAAAAATGCCGTAACTAAAATTTGTCCCTAGTATATAAATGTCTTTATTATTTTCAACATTTAAGAATATTGCTGTTAGAATATTTGACATTTTGTAATGCCCTTAAAAGAAGACCATTTTCCCTAAATTATTATTTTTTAAAATGTTTTAGGTACTGTTTTTCAACCCTAATCTCTTGACCAAGAATGAAACTATTTACAAATTAAGATGCCAACAGGTAATTTCTTATACATTTATATGTTTTTGTCAATATGTTTCCATAGCAACAGAACAACGATCAAAAATGTATATTAACACAAGACTGTATTATTCCCTTCCAACATCACTGGAAGAGATGTGAATATGAAATTAATATTTCAAATATGAAATATTTGGTTTTGAGAGACCTTCCTTTATGACATAAAACTACTTTATTTTAGACATATATGTTTTATTGGTTTTATAACCTGATACATTCTAGCTTGTTCTATATCTGAAATCAGCTCAAATAGTAAAGGAAATAGAAGTCAGAATAAAAGTAGATTCAGAAATAGTGATTCAGGTTAGATGAGTTTTCTTTATTGATAAAATAAATGCCAAGTGTTGAGATATGTTTGACTATAATCTGATTAAAACAAGGACACTAATTTTAGCTGTGATAAAGTTACTTTCCACCCTCAGTGGAAAACCATATATGATGACTCCTTTGATTCTGATATAATGTTAATTTTATTTTTTAGCCAAATTATTCCTGAAAAATTTTATAATCTTATTGAAAGTTGTTTGATTAGGAAGAAGCATGGCATTGTGTAAAAAAAAAAAATCTCAATTCATTTTGGTTGATTTTACTTTCTTTTTCACCAGTTCTCTGTAGTTCTGATTTCCTCTTTTCATTTTTATACTCTTTGGGCTATAATGTGATGCTGAAACAGGATTTTCTCAATTCTAAAGTAAAACAAAAGTTTTAAAATGTGAAAATCTGATTGTGGAGATATCTGACTCATAGCAATTATATCTTAGCAAGCATTGATATCTTAATGGCACATAAATGCTAGATAATTTTTTAAATTAATATACTAATTTTAATGTCAAATTGGAGTCCCAATGGGAGTAATGCCATTTTCTTATTCCCATTAGATGATTCTGGGTCATTTCCTAGACAGAAACAATTAAGAACTAACAACGTACAATATTAAAGCAATATAATTTCCCCTTTAAGGCTGAAAGATAAAATATTCACCAATTTTCTCTTCATAAATTACTAGTATAATGACTCAATGAATCCTTCTGTTATTCTAATTTTTTCTATACAATGGTTTTGGTGGCCAGGGATTTTTTATAAAAGGTCTTGGGGGTGAGGCTGGAAGGAAGGAGAGGTACCAAGGGAGAAAGGGAAGGCAGAGAGATAAAGGCAGATAAAGGAAAGGTCAAAGATAAAGAAAGAAGATGAGGCTGAAGAAAGAGGAAAGAGAGACAAGAAGCAAGAGAGAAGTAGAGGCTTATTTTCTTAGTATTCTAAAAGATTTGGCTGTATATCAAGCTATGACTTAGCTTTTTAATTTTTCTGTGTAACTTTAGATATGTCTTTATAGTTAGTAGCTATTACCTAAAATCACCTTGCAAATCAACACCTTATAAGATTATTTTTGGTTTCTGACATTTAGATTGTCATATAGGAACATTTAAAGTTAACTTTGGAAATAAAAAATTAATTATCTAAATCCTTTCCCAGACGCAATTTCAGATATTAATGTATTTGAGACCTAATAGGAAAAACAAGAATCTAAATAAATTCTTGGGACAGGGAAACTCTAGGTAATACTGCCAAATCTCTGTAGTAAGTGAGAAAGGCCCTGTTTGTTCTAAGATCCTAATCACCTCCTTTTAATCTAACTAATATAGGCATTCCTTATTTCTGTTATTTAGTGTCTAAACCCATTATAGTTAATGGCCATATCTTTAGGACATAATTTTTCTCTCAAAGACATAGAAGTCCCAGTCTGTCAAATAAGGAATAGAATTAAGTCTTTCATTTTGAGAAAAAAAAATTATTCATTCTGATTTTCAGAATTGCTACTTCAGTTTAAGATAGTTATTCCTATTCCTTGCTGCATTAGGAAAACTTTAATTTGCTTTTCTCTATTTTATATATGTATGTGTTTTAGATCACGAAGAGCCCTGTGGTCCCAGTCACAAGTCATTTTGCCTGAATGGGGGGCTTTGTTATGTGATACCTACTATTCCCAGCCCATTTTGTAGGTGAGTTAAATGGACTAAGGGAAGATGTTAACTTTATTTTTTTATTGTCTACTAACTTCTTTGAGAAGTGATAAAAAGTAAACAAAAAGTGTAAGATGAAAAGGTATGAGGCATATTCTTCGTATTTATGTAGGGAAAATTTATCCTTTTAAAACAAAACAAAAACAAATAGCACAATAAAAATCTCACTAATCAAGGTGTTTATTTTGAAAATTGGTAATGGTAGTTCCTAGCCTAGACATATTTTTAAAAAATAATCCCTTTTAGTGAACTCTTTGGTTTTAGCAATTTAAGGAGGGCAGTCTGTGCTTAATATTCCTGGCAAAATAGCTAGGGAATTTGCTAATCAAAAAAACCTAATATGAGATATTTTATTTTGAGTTTTTAATACATAAGCACATGATAACAGAGTTGGCACCAAAACTTACACTTTATATGTTAAAAAGCAAAAGAAGCATTGTTTTTCTAATAGTGGTAGCAAATAAAAAAGAATGGTATCTTAGCCACTATTGTTTTAAAATAATATAATTCACTGCGCGAGTACAGATACAGCCAGTGACCCATAAAAAACTTCAAAATAGTACTTCTGTAGCCTGATTCCTATGAGTTGGTTGAATAAGATTTAAGTGTGTAATAATAAACCTCTTTTTAGTATATGAGTTAACATCGTAGTACTGCCGTATACTGTGGAGCTAACACTTAAGATCTAAAGATATTTTGTAACACATGTGAATTACTCTTTTTTGTTCTTTAACCAAACTGAGAAGTATAGAATCTAGATTTAAGATCTTACTGTACATAAAAGGACAGAAAAGTAAAATTCATAGGAAAAGTTGAAGATACTGGGATGTAGTATGGAGGAGAGGAGACAAAAAGATATAACCTCACAACTATCTCAAGAAGATTTTAGGGCTTTTCACATGGGGAATAGTGCCCCGGTGTTTTTCTTCTCTAGTGAATATGTAAAGGGAAGGGAATGGAGGAACAAATTAACAATTACTTAACACTCATGATGTGCCTCAGGAGTATACTCTTTTGGTTTTTAAATCTGTTTTCTGCGATATAATTTATGTATAATGAACTACATTCATTTACAGTGCGCAATGGATTAATTTTGACAAATGTTTGTACCTGTGAAATCACCACCACTATCACATCTAGATATAGAACATTTCCATAGATAGTCCCCCCCAAATTTTGTTGCTGACTCTGCTCAACACTTAATTCTCACAAACATCTTAGAGAAAGGAGGCAGGGGAGACCTTAGAAAATAATACAAAAAAAAAAAAAAGAGGAGAAAATGAGAAATTAAGTGACATGCCAAAGGTCATATAGCTGGGAAGAAGAAAGATGTCACCTTTGAATACAACTCCCAAGTTTCACTTAACTTTATAATATGTTCATTCTGGATTCTTTCTAAGGTGATATGGCATGTAGCATGTATAAAATAAAACAAGAATGCTTATCAGAAGAAGTGCATTTAGATCAGGCATGGTGGCTCACACCTGTAATCCCAGCACTTTGGGAGGCCGAGGCGGGCGGATCACAGGGTCAAGAGACCGAGACCATCCTGTCTAACATGGTGAAACCCCATCTCTATTAAAAGTACAAAAAATTAGCCAGGCGTAGTGGCACACACCTATAGTCCCAGCTACTCAGGAGGCTGAGGCAGGAGAATGGCGTGAACCCAGGAGGCAGAGCTTGCCACAGTGAGCCAAGATCGTGCCACTACACTCCAGGCTGGGCGACAGAGTGAGACTCCATCTCAAAAAAAAAAAAGAAGAAGTGCATTTAATAATTTTTAAATACTAATATTTTGTGTCTTGATCTTGATGATGGCTACATGGGTATAAAGACTATTCTTTCTCCATTGGATTGCCTTTGCCCCTTTGTCAAAAATCACTTGATCATTTATGTGCAGGTCTATTTCTGGACTATTCTTTTCTGTTGATCTATGTGTCCTGTCTTTTCACCAATACCAGTCTTGATAAACATAGCTTTATAATGAGCAAAATCAGGTAGCATGATTCCTTAACTTTGTTCTTTGGCTCAATGACCTTTAGCCTTATTTTCTAATAGACAGTATTTAATGTTAAAATTTTCAAATACATTTCTGTTTTACCCTAAAAATTTTATAGTTTGTTGTTCAGTTTTAGGTTTAAACATTTTTTCATTATGATTTCTTCTGTAACCTATAGGGTGTTTTCCTATGCTTTTGTATTTGTACCTGATTTAATGGCATTGTGGGCAGAGTGCTTGGTCCATCAAGCTATGCACTTAATGTCTATCTGTATACTAGCTATCTGTTATACCTCACTGAATAAGTTGACAGAAAGAACTAAGAATGCTGGAATTTGGAGATTCATTAAAATGGAAAGAAACCTAGGTTGTCATCCTGCTTTTGTACCTTGGATAGATGCATTTTTAATGTATTTTCAAAAAGTTACCAATGATAGAGAATGGCCAAGTTTGCTGGCAACCCACAGCGGGTGTAAAAATGTATATAGTTTCTTCCTGATATCAGAATGTAAGAGTAGTAATTACGGAGTAGTTGAAACCATGCCACATGGGTTCATGATGGATAGAGAATGAAGCAAGGTCACCACATTGCACAACAGCAGGAGATTCTGTGTCTTGGCACCCTCTTTGTAATGTGAATGATGTATTCTGGAGTTGCTAAACACCCTGGAAGGAAGTGAAGTAGGGGGGCGGGGTAGGGAACGAAAGGGCGGCTGAGAGAAAAGGAAAAAAATATAGTGCCTGAAGGCTGAGTGACATTGAATGGCAGATGTATTTTAATTCATATTTTATAAAAAATAACTGCTTTCCAATTATCTTAGGAGCACATTTCTAATGTAGCCCTATAGGCTGTAATAGCAATAGCTAAGAGTGATAAACTCATTTTCCATCCCACTTCATACTGTTTTCTGCATTTCCTGTTTCTATTATGACATCTCAACCATCTTGTCACTGAGAAACCCCAGACTTATATTTGACTCTGTCATTGCCCTCTTGTCCAGTTGTCAAATCATATTTCTACCTTTGCTGTATCTCTCATCTCTCTAGTCCTTTCTGTTCTTACTATTATTATACTAGCTCAGAGTTTCTTAATTCCTTGCTTTGTCTATAGAAATAGTTCCTAACCAATTTTCCCAGAGCCTAATTATCATCATCTGTCCAGCTAAAACAAAAAAACTCTTCAGTGACAGCCCTCACACCTACCCATCTACCACTCATGAAGTAATACCTCACTTTTTAGCCTAGCTCTTTCAGCCTTCTACCATTTGGCCCTCAAACTACCTTTGTGGCCATTTCTTCCTTGGTCTGCATTCTAACTAGAACCATTCACTATTTACATTAGATATACTTTGTGTTATGTTGCCTGCCAACCCCTCCTGTTTCTCCTCCTCCTCAGTCTACTCCACATGAAAATGAAAATGAAAAGGATGAAGACCTTTATGATTATCTACTTCCACTTAATGAATAGTAAGAGGTATATTTTCTCTTCCTTACAATTTTCTTTTCTTTCTTTCATGTTTTGTTTTTGTTTTTGTTTTGAGACGGAGTCTCACTGGCTGGAGTGCAGTAGTGCGATGTAACCTCCGCCTCCCAGGTTCAAGCGATTCTCCTGCCTCTCAGCCTCCTGAGTAACTGAGATTACAGGTGTGTGCCACCACACCCAGCTAAATTTTGTGTTTTTAGTAGAGGCGGGGTTTTGCCATTTTAGCCAGGCTAGTCTTGAACTCCTGACCTCAGGTGATCCACCCACCTTGGCTTCCCCAAATGCCGAGATTACAGGTGTGAACCACTGCACCTGGCCCTTTTTTTTTTTTTTTTTTAAGAGACAGGGTCTTGCTCTGTTGCCCAGGCTGAAGTGCAGTGGCTTGATCATAGTTCACAGCAACCTCAAACTCCTGAGCTCAAGTGATCCTCCTGCCTCAGCCTCCCAAGAAGCAGGGACTACAGGCACACGCCACTGCCCTTGGTAATTTATTTTTTGTGGAGGATGGGGTTTTGCTGTGTTGACTAGGCTGGTCTCAAACTCCTAGCATCAAACTCCCGGCCTTAAGTGATCCTCCCACCTCAGCTTCCCAAGGTGCTGGGATTACAGGTATGAGCCACTTCATCCAGCCCCCTTACAAGTTTCTTAATAACATTTTCTTTTCTCTAGCTTGCTTTATTGTAAGACTATAGTATGTAATACATATAACATATAAAATATGTGTTAATCGACTGTTTATGTTATTAGTAAGGCTTCCAGTCAACAGAAGGCTATTAGTAGTTAAGTTTTGAGGGAGTCAAAAGTTGTATGTGGATTTTTGACTGCATGGGGGTTGTTGCCCCAACCCCTATATCATTCAAGGGTCAACTGTATTTGTGCCTTAAGATCTAAAATACTTCTAGTCAGCACATAGTTGCATCATGTGTTTTCGTCCATTTTTCTAATCTCTGTCTTTCATCAGATAATTTAATCTATTTACATTTAAAGTAATTACTGATAAGAAGGGGCTTTTGTAATTTTGTTATTTATTTTCTATATGCCTTATCACTTTTTTGTTTTTCATTTTCTATATGACTGTCTTTTGTGTTTAATTGATTTATTCGCAGTAAAACTTTTTTTTCTTTTCTTTTCTTTTTTTTTTTTTGAGACGGAGTTTTGCTCTTGTTGCCCAGGCTGGAGTGCAATGACGCTATCTCGGCTCACCGCAACCTCCGCCTCCCGGATTCAAGCGATGATTCTCCTGCCTCAGCCTCCCGAATAGCTGGGATTACAGGCACGGCCACCATGCCTGGCTAATTTTGTATTTTTAGTAGAGACAAGATTTCTCCATGTTGGTCAGGCTGTTCTCGAACTCCTGACCTCAGGTGATTTGCCTGCCTCAGCACCCCAAAGTGCTGGGATTACAGATGTGAGCCACTGCACCCAGCCTGTAGTAAAATGTTTAAATTCCTTTTTCATTTCCTTTTGTGTATATTCTATAACTATTTTCTTTGCATTT